CCACAACCATTAGAACTGACTCCAACCTCAACAAAACCTATGTAAGGCAAAGAATCACCACCAGCATGTTCGATATTCAACATGCAACCCAAAGGCTCAATTGGTAAATGATTCAAGAAGGAATCATAAAAAGACTGAGACACAAGAGACACTGTCGCTCCAGTGTCAAGTAAAGCTCTGGTTGTGACACCCTCAACCTGTAGCTCGACCTCATTAGAATGACCCACAAGCTTGTCCATAACATGTCGTCCTCTGGGGCGTAGATCTTGGCCTAGGAGTGCCCCCTGCCCATAGGCCTGTTGGAGTTTAAAGGTCTCCGGCAATGATCCTGTCGGACACGACAACCATATGAAAGATGACCAGGATAACCACAATTCCAACAAACAGGGAGTGGTCGTTGCTGTATACTCTCTTGAGATGGATCTGATCCAGAAGCACTCTCAGACTGATTCACTGACGTTGATGTGTCCTGTGTGGAACCATAAGCACCTCGATATCCTGATCTACCACGACCTCTAGGCCTAACATCTGGTTGCCCTGACTGAAGCTGATTGATCTGTGTCGTCATTTGAGTTTGATGATCCTTTATGCCAGTAATCTCTGACTTCATTTGCTTCAACATATCTTTAAGTTCAGAATAGTGGTCAGGCTCTGTTGACTTCTCAGAAGACGCTTGTTTCACCATAGCTTGCTTCCCTTTATGTTGAGGAACAGTCCCACGATGCAAGTTGAACTCCAACTCTCTTAGGCATAGACGAAGGTCATCAAAATTCTTGAGAGACTCATATTTGTAGCCTGCTAGTCCCTTAAGAGTAGGATTCAAGCCATCCCACAACCTTGACCTCAACATATCATCTTGCTCGGCATGAGATATAGACTTCTGACAAACCAACTGGTAGAGTAATCTCTCAAGACGACAGCTCCAAGCAGTGACATCTTCACCATCCTTTTGAGTGGCACTGTAAAACTCGGACATGAGTACAGAAATTCTCCGAAGTGTCCCAAAAGCACTCTTCAACTTGGATAGGATGTCTGTAATTGAAGCTTTGTGACCAAGCTTCATTGCTGAAAGAGCAGCTTCACCCTTGAGGGATTTCCGTATGGCTTGTAGAATCACCTCATTGCTGTGTGTTTTGGCCTCAATCAAGCAGTCGACCTCATATCGCCAAAGGTCATATTCACTATCCTTGCCTGGCTCCCCACTAAATACTGTTAGTTTAGGGAAGCTGTGATATGCGTGAGTACTGACACTCTTCTGTTGTGTAGTACTACTAGTCGGAGCAACATCATCCACTGAAGCACTAACTCCAAGATCAACTTCCTGTTTAATTATAACTTCCTGTTCTGAGACAGAAGTGATCCAGTCTTTGAAACCCTCCACTGTATCAGCTTTAGGTTTCAATCCTGCCTTCTCAAAGGCAACAATCATCTTTTCCATTTCCTCTTTGCTGAATTCCATTTTGTAGATTCACCAGTGAAATTACGAAGACAAACTCCTGTGTGAAAATGTAGCACAAAGTAGAAATGCACAAACAGAAAAAAATATGGTGAATGGTGAACAGCACAAACAACGGAGTTTGTGGTAGAAGTAATAAAGGGTAATAGACTAACAGCACAAACCAACTGTTTGTGTGCGAGGGAATATGTGGCAAGCTTACATGCTTGTAAGTGAGTGAAAAATACACTAATACCACGTGGCAACTAATGACTAAGTACTAAACTAAGAATGAAACCTTAATTGAGTACTCAAACTAAACTAAGTAAGTACTTACATCTAAACTAAGTAAACTAAAGTAAACTACCTGAAGTGCACATCACTAAACTAATTGAGATTAAGTAATAAACATAATTAAATTCAGAGAAGATTGCAAAAGAATAACACAAACACCCAAGTTTTATATTGTATTCAATGTAAAAACACGGAATGCAACATCAAATTTCAACAGCTCTGCCCGAAAATATCACGTCAAGCTGATGCAACACTGCGTGACAACAACGCGACAACACGAGCACACAACATACGACCAGAGAAATGCGAGAAACGCGACAAAAAATAAACAGAACACCTTGTGACCTGATGCAAAATATAAACCAAAAAACAGAATACAAGAACCAAAAGCACAAAAGCCCAACTAAATGTCGACGAGGGGATTTGGGATGTTATTAAATTAATTAGTATAGCGCAGCAGCAATAAAGTGCAATGTGCAAATACTGAATTGAATAATATACTAAATTAAGTAAGCTTGTTTAAAGGATGATACTAAGTTTTTTTTTTACTAAGTTTTGATGAAGCAAAATTTAAAAGTAAATTTAATCAAATTTATACACACTCAGACAACTCAAATTCTTCAACTGACAAAAAAAACCCCAACTAATTAGCGCATCAAAACTAAATGCAAAAAAACACTATAAACAGAGCACAATTAAATATTCATAATTGCTGGTGTTTAAACAAGGATGAATGTATGCATATAAATATGTCACACAAATGTAAATATCAAAACATAAATCTTATACAGAATATAAATGCAGAAGTAATGATAGAAATGAACACAACACTGGAAGTAAACAACACAGTGTGGTTAGTCTGTGCCTTTATGGCGACATGATCTAAATGCCTTTATGGTGAAAGTCTAGTTATACAAAGTATACTATTTTGGGAGATATCTTCAATTCAGCTGATGGAAGTAGATATGGACTCAGTCATAGTGGATGGAAAACCGAATCACTGTATCACAAGTCAATCACTTATCCAGTTATTGATAAATGAAAATCAAATCAATTATAGAAACTGCTATCAAATTGATATATCAGTTTGTCTCTATGAAGCACATCACAAAAATATACCTAGCAGCACATCATCAAGTCTATGTTGGTCACTGTTGAGACGCTGGAACACCGCTGAATTCCTCACTGGGGGCTCCAATGTTGTAGACCTTATGTGTAATCCTTAGTCGCAAGAGATTACAGTCCACGGGGTTGTGAGAAAATTCAGTTTATTCAGCAAGGCATATAGAAGACACTCCTGAAACAATTTAAAATCACAATATATCACATGTTTCAGAATAAATGTACAATAACACATTAAATGTAAAGTATCGATCTGCTTCTTAATAACTGATTACATCATTACAGCAGATACGCAAATATATTTCTGCCTCGATATCTAATCAGTGCAGATGTACCTTCATATACAAAGACAATATAATTACACATTATTAAACGCATAACTGAGGAAAGCATTAAATCATCACATAATCATATTATGCATAATGAATGCACAACATGAACATATTATATAGATAAACTATATACAAAACATACCCTGTGTGTGACACGAGAGTGTAACATGCCTTCTGCCAGTCGTCTCATTCGACAGTCACATGAAACTAAATACAGATACAATATTAATTATAATATTGTAAATAACATATATAATCACGGCATATACATGCATCACTGAAATACAACTTCAGTCATTCATTCATACAACTATCAATAAATACATGCATACATCTAGAGAGATATGTACAAAGTCTAGAAATACACCAGATTTACTAAATAATAGCAAATATGCATCAAATACCAAAATACGCAAAATACCAAATAACCAATACATTGAAATATAAAATATATGTATAGATAAGCAATACTCATGAATCAGACCCTAATCTCATCACACTCACCTCATTCACTCAACCTATCGTTTGTTTATGTTTACAAGTTATTTAAAACACATTTTATCATTTATTACTTGATTTATACTAATGATTGAAATTATAATGTTTAGATTGATACAGATTAATTATGATTACTAACCTTGATAACTTGATCCTCAATCCATTGCTGTGCAGTGCAGGTGGGTGTGTGCAGCATAAGATTAGCAATGGCAGGTGAGAAAGGGATTTGAATTGAAAGGTATACTAATTGGCTCACAACAGGTAACCCTAATGACGAGCAAACAATAGAACAAAACACCCTTGGAAGTAAAATAGACTGGACCATTGACCTTTGACCCAGTAGAAAGTTATCAGTAGCAAATACTGATAAGGACACAACTAATGATAGATAGAAACCAGGAAATGACACAACCCTCTGCTGAATCAACAAGCTGAAATAGAAAAGACAAGTTACTTTATCTACACTAAAAATACTAACATATTTACAAGCTGCAGAATTAACACCTACTACACAACTCATGTGCAAACACCAAAACCTTGCAGCTCCTAATGTTGAACTCATGTGCAAACACCAATACCTTGCAGCTCCTAATGTTAAACTCATGTGCAAACACCAATACCTTGCAGCTCCTAATGTTAAACTCATGTGCAAACACCAATACCTTGCAGCTCCTAATGTTAAACTCATGTGCAAACACCAATACCTTGCAGCTCCTAATGTTAAACTCATGTGCAAACACCAATACCTTGCAGCTCCTAATGTTAAACTCATGTGCAAACACCAATACCTTGCAGCTCCTAATGTTAAACTCATGTGCAAACACCAATACCTTGCAGCTCCTAATGTTAAACTCATGTGCAAACACCAATACCTTGCAGCTCCTAATGTTAAACTCATGTGCAAACACCAATACCTTGCAGCTCCTAATGTTAAACTCATGTGCAAACACCAATACCTTGCAGCTCCTAATGTTAAACTCATGTGCAAACACCAATACCTTGCAGCTCCTAATGTTAAACTCATGTGCAAACACCAATACCTTGCAACTCCTAATGTTGAACTCATGTTGAAAGTAGTCATCATTTTAATGGGTGAAGCATGCCACAGTAGAATTCAGTTTTGATTTTTGTGAGATTAAAGTTACGCTGCAAATTGGACTTACTGTCTGTGTTGGTTGTGAGCAACAAAGGAGATATCCCACTCAGTGAGCAGGCTCTCCCCTTGTTGCCAGTGATGTTGGTCTCTCTCCCTCTTCCCACATCACATTTCCTCACAACAAACTTCTTATCTCAATAAATGTATGTACATTTTCTTTCAGACCAAAGTAATTCTATGCAGTATAGGTGAGATATTTCCACTATTTTCATTGACTGAACTTTATCTCATTCAAATTGTATCATTGTCATACAACAGGATACGCTCAGTGCATTTATTCCTATATACTAGGGGAAACTGTGCTTCATATAAAGCGGTTTAATTGTTATGTTACTGTAAATAACAACATGATATTTGGTCATTCGTCTGATCAACGTCTTATCATAACACATTCATTGACAAGACCGTACCTGGTAACAGAGCGACACGCCCTAAAACGGGTGGTGTAACAACTCAACGCTGCCAATATTAAGAGTGAGTTGTGTTTGCCAATGAGTTGTGATGTGACCCAATACCAGATGAAACCTGGACTCAGCTGTGAACAGTGTACTGTCCCAGTCTTGTCCTCTGAACCTCAGATGCTGTCTGCACCAAGCTAGGCGTGCCTGATGGTGACAAAGCACAATTGGGCTTATCACTGGACGTCGGGGGCTGGATGTTGAGCTCTTTCAACTGGTTGTATACGGTTTTGCCACTAATTGGTCTCAAACCAGGAATTGTCCTTGCTGTAAATATGGCAGTTTGGTATCGCTTCAGTGGATGCACCAACGGAACATGGCTGTCTTGTTGACTTGACGTCACACATGGACAACCAGCCCATGTCAAGTGATGAGTGTTGCCCTGCTGCAAATAACGTCTCCAAAGTGATAATATCGTATTTCAATAAACATTAAAATGTCTTGCAACTTGGTTTTTTTGCCATTCCTGTTTGCAACATACACACGGCAAGTACAGATTGATATTTAGCAAGCCATGGCATCGCATAAGCGTTGTTTACAGTTAAACAAAAGTGTTTTTGTGAACTCCTGATAGCTAAACAATGATTGTGAGCTTTTCATATTTCAAGAACATGTGTATGAGTATCATGCTCCCAACAAACAAGCAAACATCCAAAATGTGTGTCATGCATTAATATACACGTGCAAGTTGGGAATCCCGACCTTAAAGCTGATAACTTCATAAATATGTATTGAAAGATGCTTTTCATTTCGGAATATATTAATTTTTATTGAACTTTATGTGAAGCACAGTTATTTTTTGTTTGATATATTCATCATGTTATCAGTAAGGTATGTTGTCATCTCATTGTACCCTCATATTCTAAAGCAAGTAGATGTGTGAGACCTGTTAGAATATGGTTCCCAGCGACCAGTCCTTGTCATAAAAGACGACTTTATGGACCGGATGGTCAGCCTTAGTGACTTACTTGATTACATGTCATCGCATCCCAATTGGATGGATCGATGCCCATGATGTCAATCACTAGATTGCCTGGTCCAGACCTGATTATTTACAGACTGCTGTTATTTAGATAGAGTGTTGCAGAGTGCAACTTGAAACAACAGACAAATCTGAATCTGGCAGCTTTCGAGTTGTTGTGTGTCGTGTGTTGTATGTTATGTCAGCACATTATGGATACATGCTTCTATTTCAGCTCAAGGCTTTGAAAGAACACACTGGTTCTTGTGATGGACTCATCATGGAATATAAAATGATCTAATCAAATGTGAGGAACAACATGCCACGGATTGCCACTCTGTCCACCGTCCCCAGTCAGCACGGCTTAGATGTTGCTGACGTTATTGCAGTCTCAGTCAGCAGAGACTAGATGTTGCTGACGTTATTGCAGTGGCAGTCAGCACAGCCTAGATGTTGCTGACGTTATTGCAGTGGCAGTCAGCACAGCCTAGATGTTGCTGACGTTATTGCAGTCCCTGTCAGCACAGCCTAGATGTTGCTGACGTTATTGCAGTGCCAGTCAGTACGGCCTAGATGTTGCTGACGTTATTGCAGTGCCAGTCAGCATGGCCTAGATGTTGCTGACGTTATTGCAGTCCCTGTAAGCATGGCCTAGATGTTGCTGACGTTATTGCAGTGCCAGTCAGCATGGCCTAGATGTTGCTGACGTTATTGCAGTCCCTGTAAGCATGGCCTAGATGTTGCTGACGTTATTGCAGTGCCAGTCAGCATGGCCTAGATGTTGCTGACGTTATTGCAGTGCCAGTCAGCATGGCCTAGATGTTGCTGACGTTATTGCAGTCCCTGTCAGCATGGCCTAGATGTTGCTGACGTTATTGCAGTCCCTGTCAGCACAGCCTAGATGTTGCTGACGTTATTGCAGTGCCAGTCAGCATGGCCTAGATGTTGCTGATGTTATTGCAGGACCAATGTCATTTTTCCTGGATATGCATCAGTTTTACTCTACACTGTTGAACAGACTATTACAGGTGCACCATCAGCTTTACATTAACTGTCTACAGAGATGCCAACCACTATGATAAGGACGGATTCATTACCTGTTTCCAGCAAATTCAACGACAATGATAAAGTGAAAAATATTATATGTTTATCTAAAAAAAATATTGGTATGTTTAAGCCAGTTACATCATACCTTGTGTCACAGTGACATCATAGTTTGTGTCACGGTGACGCCATAGTTTGTGTCACAGTGACATCATAGTTTGTGTCACGGTGACGCCATAGTTTGTGTCACTGTGACGTCATAGTTTGTGTCACGGTGATGCCATAGTTTGTGTCACAGTGACATCATAGTTTGTGTCACAGTGACGTCATAGTTTGTGTCACGGTGACATCATACCTTGTGTCACAGTGACATCATAGTTTGTGTCACCGTGACGTCATAGTTTGTGTCACCGTGACGTCATAGTTTGTGTCACTGTGACGCCATAGTTTGTGTCACAGTGACATCATAGTTTGTGTCACAGTGACGTCATAGTTTGTGTCACCGTGACGTCATAGTTTGTGTCACAGTGACATCATAGTTTGTGTCACAGTGACATCATAGTTTGTGTCACAGTGACATCATACCTTGTGTCACAGTGACATCATAGTTTGTGTCACCGTGACGTCATAGTTTGTGTCACAGTGACATCATAGTTTGTGTCACAGTGACATCATAGTTTGTGTCACAGTGACATCATACCTTGTGTCACAGTGACATCATAGTTTGTGTCACCGTGACGTCATAGTTTGTGTCACGGTGACGTCATAGTTTGTGTCACAGTGACATCATAGTTTGTGTCACCGTGACATCATAGTTTGTGTCACAGTGACATCATAGTTTGTGTCACGGTGACGCCATAGTTTGTGTCACGGTGACGTCATAGTTTGTGTCACGGTGACATCATAGTTTGTGTCACGGTGACATCATAATTAGTGTCACTGTGACAGCATAGTTCGTGTCACTGTGACACAATAGTTCGTGTCACGGTGACACCATAGTTCATGTCACGGTGACACCATAGTTCATGTCACGGTGACATCATAGTTAGTGTCACTGTGACAGCATAGTTCGTGTCACTGTGACACAATAGTTTGTGTCAAGGTGACACCATAGTTCATGTCACGGTGACACCATAGTTCGTGTCACTGTGACGTCCTAATTGGTGTCTCGGTGACGTCCTAGTTGGTGTCACGGTGACGTCCTAGTTTGTGTAACAGTGACATCATATTTTTGGTCACTGTGACACCATAGTTTGTGTCACAATGACATCATAGTTGGTGTCACGGTGACACCATAGTTCGTGTCACTTTGACACCATAGTTGGTGTCACGGTGACATCATAGTTTGTGTCACGATGACACCATAGTTTGTGTCAAGGTGACATCATAGTTTGTGTCACAAGTTATTTATTTCTTCAACACCATGTTGATCGTGCTAATGGAGTTTACAATTTAGCAAGGGGGCGCTTTGTTGTCTATGGAGTTCTCTGTGCTCAGTTGCTTCCCTTGGGTTTGAATCCTGGTTCACCGTGATGATGTTTCTAGGTTTGTCAGGGGGGCAGTGTTTACTGTGTCTATGCTGTTAGAAGGACACACACCCTGAGGTTAGTTCCCGGATGAGCATGGTTTCGGGGTGGGTGGAGACCATGCTATCTTAGAACACAGATGGTGCCGGGTTGTGTGGGTCTCTCCATATAGACATATGTCTGGCAATAGTAGCAAGTTGGCAGACAATCCCTGAAGATCGGGGTAGAATAGGTCTTCAGCAATCCATGCAGGCAACTAAGAGGCGACTAACAGGTTTGGGTGGACAGGCTTGCTGACTTGGTTAATGCATGTCATCATATCCCAATTGCGCGGATTGATGCTCATGATGTCAATCACTGGATTGTCTGGTCAAGACTGGATTATTTACAGACCGCCATCATATAGCTGGAATACTGCTGAGTGCGGCGTTAAACAACAAACAAACAAAACAAAGTTGGATATTGGGGTAAACAATAAAGATAAATACATGTGCATACACATAGATGAGATCGATGGAGCTGGTGTACATTGGCACAATGCACATAGATCTGATGTACCTGGATCTGGTGTATGTGGAGACAGTGTTAGTGTAGTGAAGTCACATGGAATTGCCATATTTGCCAAATTTGACATTGATGTCAAACCATTTCCAGTCCAACATTCCCACCAGCACATTGGCATTATGTCTGTACGTTTTGGTGTGCTATCTGTGTGTGAAGATTTCAGTGTTGTCCAGTGGTTGTATCGGATCTCAGTTGTGTGGTGAGGATGAGGATGTGAGTCACTCTGTACTGGGCAATATGCATGATGTATATACACTTGACACAAACATTTTTGTTACTTTGTGTTACCATAATGAATTTCTGTATTTCACATGATGATTATTTTGAACTTATTATTTAGTTTACTATGTGTATCCAAAGTTGACACATTTCTAGCATGTTGTGCATTCCATGATATGTGCAATATTTTTTTTCTGTTATACCTTTTTTTGCTGTTGTGTAGTTGTTATTACTGGAACTGTTTTATGTATCTCAATGGTAATTCCCTGCAGTTGTGTTACTGTGTGTTACTATTTGACATAGTGCACTGGTAATTCCCTACAGTTTTGATATTGTGTTACTGTTTGACGTATCTCACTGGATATTCCCTACAGTTGTGTTACTGTGTTTTACTGTTTGACATGACTCACTGGTAATTCCCTACAGTTGTGTTACTGTGTGTTACTGTTTGACGTATCTCACTTGTAATTCCCTACAGTTGTGTTACTGTTTGATGTATCTCACTTGTAATTCCCTACAGTTGTGTTACTGTTTGACGTATCTCACTGGTAATTCCTTACAGCTGTGATATTGTGTGTTACTGTTTGATGTATCTCACTTGTAATTCCCTACAGTTGTGTTACTGTTTGACGTATCTCACTGGTAATTCCCTACAGTTGTGTTACTGTTTGACGTATCTCATTTGTAATTCCCTACAGTTGTGTTACTGTGTGATGTAACTCACTTGTAATTCCCTACAGTTGTGATATTGTGTGTTACTGTTTGATGTATCTCACTTGTAATTCCCTACAGTTGTGATATTGTGTGTTACTGTTTGATGTAACTCACTTGTAATTCCCAACAGTTGTGTTATAGTGTGTTACTGTTTGGTTTGATGTATCTCACTGGTAATTCCCTACAGTTGTGTTACTGTGTGATGTAACTCACTGGTAATTCCCTACAGTTGTGTTATTGTGTTATCAGTGAGGGCATGCGGCAGCTCATAATGAAGTCATTGATACATTGTGGAAGTGAAAAGTCTTTACAGGTAATGTTTATTTTTGGTTTTATGCTACAGCTGTGAGAAGCACATACATGTGGTATGAGTTATGTTTATGTTTTGGGTTCTGCTGCTTTTTGGTAGAATGTTTCTGTACATATGTAGGTGTCCCATTCTTGTGTGGGGATCCCTCACCTGGCGTCACCTTGTGGGTCTCTGCCATATTTTGGGTTGTTTCCTTCATATATGTAAGTTTAAACTTACAAATATATTATGAAGAATTCTTGGTAGCTATGTTGCTGGTGTAATGAGGGTTTGTTTTGTGTGGGTCCATGTTGTTGACACTGTCAGCCTGCACCGTCTCATTGTATGCATGGAGGGTGAATCTACAAAACAATATCTCCAACAGCTTGGCACACACAGGTATTTGTACTTGATTGAGTTGTCAGTTTCATATTCCAATGGCAAGGACGGGGGATAAGTTTTCTCAGCTTTGTATTCATTCTGCTTGTTGTCAAACAGAACAACATTTGCAGAGATGTTTGGCAGCCACCACAGGCATACCCTACGTTGACTGTATTGATCTGTTAGTTCTTTGTTAGAAGTCTTTCACAGGAGCCGGCGTTGTCTAGTGTAATGTTCATAGACTTGGTCCTGTGACTGTCATGGATGTATTCATATATCTACTCCAGCAACCGTGCTCTCAGTCTCACCTGTCTGGAACTGTTGGTTGTTACTGTTGAAATAAAAATATTTCATTTAGCTTCCATGTCACTGTTTTATTTATACCCAGTATCACCACACAGAACAAACCACAGTATCACCACACAGTATCACCACACAGAACAAACCACAGTATCACCACACAGTATCACCACACAGAACTAACCACAGTATCACCACACACAGACACAGTATCACCACACAGAACTAACCACAGTATCACCACACACAGACACAGTATCACCACACACAGACACAGTATCACCACATACAGACACAGTATCACCACACAGAACCACAGTATCACCACACACAGACACAGTATCACCACACACAGACACAGTATCACCACACTGAACAAACCACAGTATCACCACACAGTATCACCACACAGAACTAACCACAGTATCACCACACACAGACACAGTATCACCACACAGAACTAACCACAGTATCACCACACACAGACACAGTATCACCACACACAGACACAGTATCACCACACACAGACACAGTATCACCACACAGAACCACAGTATCACCAGAAACAGACACAGTATTACAAACCAGAACTAACCACAGTATCACCACACACAGACACAGTATCACCACACACAGACACAGTATCACCATACACAGACACAGTATCACCACACACAGACAAAGTATCACCACACAGAACCACAGTATCACCACACACAGACACAGTATCACCACATGCAGAACAACAGTATCACCACACAGAACCACAGTATCACCACACACAGACAAAGTATCACCACACACAGAACCACAGTATCACCACACACAGACACAGTATCACCACACACAGATACAGTATCACCACACACAGACACAGTATCACCATACACAGACACAGTATCACCACACACAGACACAGTATCACCATACACAGACACAGTATCACCACACGCAGACACAGTATCACCATACACAGACACAGTATCACCACACACAGACACAGTATCACCACACACAGACACAGTATAATCACACACAGACACAGTATCACCACACACAGACACAGTATCACCACACACAGACACAGTATCACCATAAACAGACACAGTATCACCATACACAGAACCACAGTATCACCACACACATACAAAGTATCACCACACACAGAACCACAGTATCACCACACACAGACACAGTATCACCACACACAGACACAGTATCACCACTCACAGATACAGTATCACCACACACAGACACAATATCACCATACACAGACACAGTATCACCACACACAGACACAGTATCACCACACACAGACACAGTATCACCATACACAGAACCACAGTATCACCACACACAGACAAAGTATCACCACACACAGAACCACAGTATCACCACACACAGACACAGTATCACCACAAACAGACACAGTATCACCACACACAGATACAGTATCACCACACACAGACACAATATCACCATACACAGACACAGTATCACCACACACAGACACAGTATCACCATACACAGACAAAGTATCACCACACACAGACACAGTATCACCATACACAGACACAGTATCACCACATACAGACAAAGTATCACCATACACAGACACAGTATCACCACATACAGACACAGTATCACCACACACAGACACAGTATCACCACACACAGACACAGTATCACCACACACAGACACAGTATCACCACACACAGACACGGTATCACCACATACAGACACAGTATCACCACACACAGACACAGTATCACCAGACAGAACCACAGTATCACCACACAGTATCACCACACAGAACTAACCACAGTAGCACCACACACAGACACAGTATCACCACACACAGACACAGTATCACCACACACAGACACAGTATCACCACACACACAGAACCACAGTATCACAACACACAGACACAGTATCACCACACAGTATCACCACAAACAGACACAATATCACCACATACAGACACAGTATCACCACACACAGACACAGTATCACCACACACAGACACAGTATCACGACACAGACACAGTATCACCATACACACAGAACCACAGTATCACCAAACGCAGACACAGTATCACCATACACAGACACAGTATCACCACACACAGACACAGTATCACCACACACAGACACAGTATTACCACACACAGACACAGTATCACCACACAGACACAGTATAACCACACACAGACACAGTATCACCACACGCAGACACGGTATCACCACACACAGATACAGTATCACCACACAGAACCACAGTATCACCACACAGAACCACAGTATCACCACACACAGACACAGTATCAACACACACAGACACAGTATCAACACACACAGACACAGTATCAACACACAAAAACACCACACACAACCACAGTATCACCACACACAGACAGAGTATCACCACACACAGACACAGTATCACCACACAGAACCACAGTATCACCACACAGAACAACAGTATCACCACATATAGACAAAGTATCACCACACACAGACACGGTATCACCACACAGTATCACTACACAGAACTAACCACAGTATCACCATACACAGATACAGTATCACCAGTACACACAGAACCACAGTATCACCACACACAGACACAGTATCACCACACACAGACACAGTATCACCACACACAGACACAATATCACCACATACAGACACAGTATCACCACATACAGACACAGTATCACCACACAGAACCACAGTATCACCACATACAGACACAGTATCACCACACACAGACACAGTATCACCACACAGAACCACAGTATCACCACACAGAACCACAGTATCACCACATACAGACACAGTATCACCACACACAGACACAGTA